ATAGGACTTACCCATTTGCTGTCAGAAATAGGATAAATAATTCCATTATCTAGAAGCTTAATGACTTTATTTTTCACTACTTCTTTCATATTAGGATTGAGTCTTCGTTGCATTCCCCTAGAGGGTTTAGCATTTTCCTCCAAATAAATTCTGTGTGTACAAATCAAAGGACTAATTTCTTTTATGTCAGTTATGGTCCATCCTAATGCATTTTTGTGCATTTTCAGAGTTTATAATAACTTACCTTCTTGATGTGCATTAAGTTTGGAAGAGATTATTACTAGAAAAGTTTTATTTTCTTCCAAAAATGAGTATTTGAGATTGAATGGCTACGACTTCAAATCAAGTTTGGGTGGTTGAACACTTGAAGGTATGGACTTAATTGATCGTGGTGGCAATTCCTCACTTTGCAGCCTCCAATTACTTGTCCTTGATTCTTCCTGAAAGTAAATCATTTGCAAATCATCAATCTCAATTTCACTGGAAGTGGTTTGAAATTGATCATGAATTAATTTTTTAGTAAAGTCCACTTCCTATAAATCATTATCATCTCTAGGTTGCTTGTAAATGTTGAAAATATTCATCTCCAATGTCATATTTTCAAATTATAGCTTCATCAGTCCATTCCTATAATTAATTAATGCATTAGAAGTTGTAAGAAACGGACATCCTAAAATAACAGGAAATGAATTTCATACTTCAATAGGTTGTGTGCCCAAGACAATAAAATCCACAAGATAAATGAATTTATCGACTTGTACTAACACATCTTCAATTATTCCTCTAGGAACTTTTATAGATCTATCGTCAAGTAAAATAGTTATAGAAGTTGGTTTTAACTCACCTAGATTGAGACTTTGAAAAACTAAATGTAGAAGTAAATTCACACTGGCTCCAAGACCAAGTAAGGCTCTTTTAATTTTATGTTTTCTAATAAAGCAAGAAATTGTAGGACAACCAGGGTCTTTATATTTCAAAGCATTATTATTCGGAAGAATAACACTTACTTGTTCGGCTAAAAAGGCTTTTTTTTTCACATTCAGTTTCCTTTTCACAATGCATAGATCTTTCAAAAATTTAGCATAGGAAGGAACTTGTTTAATAGCATCTAACAAAGGTATATTGATCCTTACCTAGTTGAAAGTTTCAAAGATTTCAGAGTTATGATTGACTTTCCTTTGTTTGGTCATGGCATAAGGAAATGGAAGCATTAGTGGGGATTCGGTCTTTTCTTTACAAATTTCAGATTCAACCCCTTCCTTACCCTCAAAGATTGATTTATCATCTTTCTCATAAGGGTCAAGAGTGCGTTTATCAATAACCTTACCACTGCAAATAGTAGTGACTGATTTGACTTGATCCATGTGTTGGCTTCTGGAACTACTTGCATTTGCATTGTATTGCCCCTTGGGATTTTGTTGTGGTTGAGATGGAAACTTACCTTTCTCTTGAAAACTGAGAGCAGATGTCAATTTTGCAAGAGTATCTTTAAAATCTCTCATGTTTTGAGCAAGTTGAGTATTGATTGTCTCTTGTGTTTCAATGAATGCATGTAATGTTTCCTCAAGATTTCTTCTGCATATCCATGACAATTTTAGAAATTGTGGTGTGCTTGAAATGGTGGTTGTGAAGTTTGTACATTGTTATTATCACTCTTCCAACTGAAATTTGGGTGATTTCTCCAACCAAGGTTGTATGTTTGGGAGTATGGGTTGTGGTTGGCCCTTTGGAAACTATTTAAAGCATAGGCTTGTTCATGGAGACATTCCTTAAAAGAAGGCAAGGTTGGAAAATTATTGGTTGAGTGTTCATTTGTTTCACATATTTGACACACAATGTTTTCAACATATTTAATTGACCACTCTTTTTCAATTCTAATGCCTCGACTTTTCTAGCTAAAGATGCAAACTTGGCTTGGAGGTCATGATCTTCTCTAAAGTTGTACATACCTCCACTAGATGTATGAGGTTGAGTTTTACTCGGTGCCTCATAAGTACCCGCAGTGTCCCGATTTCGAGCATTTTCAGCTAACAAGTCTAAGTACTTCATTGCTTCATCAGGGTCTTTATCTTCAAAAGTTCCATTGCACATCAATTCAACCATTTGCCTATCTTTAGGTGTTAACCCTTCATAGAAATGTGAAACCAATCTCCATGTTTCAAAACCATGATGAGGGCAAGTACTAAGCAAGTCTCGATACCTATCCCAACATTGGTAAAATGTTTCTCCTGGTTTTTGAGTGAAAGTGGTGATTTGTCTCTTGAAAGAGTTTGTTCTATGAGATGGGAAAAACTTCTTTAAAAACTGTTGTTGCATTTCATCCCAAGCACGAATGGATCCTGGTCTTAATAAAACTGCTGTTGCATTTCATCCCAAGCACGAATGGATCCTGGTCTTAAATTTTGTAGCCATGTTTTAGCTTTATCTTTTATTGATAAAGGAAAAAGCTTTAATCTGATGGTGTTCATGCTATAATTTGAGTCATTATATGTGTTGCAGACCTCCTCAAATTCCCTTAAATGCAAGTATGGATTTTCCAATTCTAAGTCATCAAAAGAAAGTAAAAGTTGAATAATTCCTGACTTAAAATTAAAATGAGATGCATTAGGAGGAAAAACTATACATGATAGTGCACTTGTTCTTGTGGGATTCATGTGGTCTCTAAGTGTTCTAAGACAATTATTCTTATTATTCTCATTATGAAGTGACTGGTTATCTTCTTCGGCCATATTTTCTGAAAATGATGAGGATACCCTACAAAGTATACCACTTAATGTATGTGACCATGCTCTCATACACGTGTAGGAATAGAATAAAAGGAAGAAGAAAATAAAAGAAGAAGAAACAAGAATAAAGAAACAAAGTTATATACAAGAAAAGTGAAAAGAGAAAATAAAATAAATACTATAATTTGTACAAGAACTTACCTCCCCGACAACGGCACCAAAAACTTGACATGACCAAAAGATTGATGTCTTCTCCCAAGTACAAGAGTGTCAAAGTAATAAATAACCCGGGGAGGTTAATTGTACAAAATCATATACAACAATTATAAACAACAACAACAATAACAACAATAACAACAACAACAATAATATCAGTAATAATAATAATAATAATAATAATACTAGTAGTAGTAGTAGTAGTAGTAGTAGTAGTAATACTAATAAAGAGGAAGAAGAAGAAGAAGTTGATAAGAACTTTGAGATGAACGATTAACGTAAGGATTAAACAATGATAATAACAAATGCCAAGGTTAGAGGTTTCACTAATGGTATGTCAAACAAGTATAGTATAAACTCTTATTATTCAATTAGAAACCACACACAAAGAAGGTTCCAATCAGATTATAAATTGTTAACATGATCACATTAGTTATCTTATTCGATTAATGCTAATACTTGTAAATCTCGTCAAGCATTCATGATTATAACTTATTTTAACAACATGTAAATGTTGTTAAGCATTCATGATTATAACTTATGTTAACAATAAATCAAGTTCCTTTCATAGCTCAAGTGTCGGTTATACCATTTAGTATGGGCTATAAGAATGCCAAGTATTTGTTGTACCAGGTATTATACAACATAAATCTAGATTAGTCATTTAACAAGTAAAGTATTAAAGAGTGAACAAGATAACAAATACAAAACATGTTAGTATCAAACATTAAAGTGCATATTAAGTTTACACTATACTTATTCTTACACCATTAGTGTAACCTTTTCACCTTGACATAATAAACTTAGCTAAACATAATAAAAGAAAGAAAAATAAATAAATAAAATATGAACATTAATAAGATAAAAGTTAACTAAGTAAATGAAAGGAAATGAAAGGCATAAACTTGATATTAATTAAAGCAAAGCATAAACATTACAAAAAATACAAAGAGAGAAAGCAAGAGCATGATCTTGATCTGGAAACCAAGATGCCTAAATGCATGGCAAATGCCTCCTTTTATAGGCCAAAATTGGGAACTATTGATTTGATGACTAATTGATGAGTGGGAAAACATGGAAACTATTTATTTGATGACTAATTAATAAGTGGGTGACCAACTCTTGACTTGGTGACAATCCTTATCTTCTTTTGTCTGCCCAAAACATCATTAATAACGTCAAAATTGGAACCACTTGAAAACATGAAAGTTATACGAAATTGTCTCATCTTTTTTGTGTAACAAATTCAGGTTATTTAGACTTCTAGAACTCCAGATATGGGTCAAAAACTAAACAGTACTCAGACTGGAAGACAAATTCAAACTTATTTGTTGTTGCTACAATTTGGACTTGAAAATGACCTTTTTAAGTCTTGGGCTCTATATAAAAGCTTTCCATCCATATAAAATAGACCTAAATCTGATATCTACAGCTCTAGATATGACCCAATTACCGAACAGTGTTCTAGTTTGGATTGCACCAGCATCTCTTTTCTAAGTTTGGCCATCTCTAGCCTTTCAATTTCAGTTCTTAAATTTATCAATGAATCCTTTCATTTATGTGATAGGCCTGCATTTAAAATAAACATTTACCATAAATTAAAGGTATCATATATTATTAGATATATTACTATAAAACATGATTTAGTTAAGGAGTTATTGATACTTCAAGTGCAAAATAATGACATAAAACTTTGATAAAAAATGCACTTTTAAGTATTAATCAGTTTGCGAAAGTCTGAGTAAGGGACTGATTGTGCAAGGGGAAGATGCATCACCCCTAGTTATTGTTGTTTGATTGTTTTTTTAGGTCGGGTTTCTATTTATTGGTCTTATCTAAGGCTCAAGGTAGATCTCTCTCCAAGAGAGAGTCTCTACCTTATCGGGTTAAATCCTAACCATTCTAAAATTTAAATTTTAGCATCATATTTATTTACACTTTGTATCTTTAATACCTGAAGATATACTTTATCGTATAATTTTATCTGATCTGGAGTCAGACGCGCTACCATTGCGCCACGGATCCACTTGTTAATCTTGTGCCTCAAAATGCTAATACCAGGTGAGGAAGGGACTGAAACGTGAGGCTCTTGTGGTTGGATTTTGGACCAAGTGATGGCACTGGTGCATCATCAATTTATGTTGATTTTGAAATGAAATTTTTTAGACTCCTAAAAAATCTCTTTTGAAAATGACACCGACAACAACATCATCACCATCAGCTTGGACTCCTCAATTTCACTGTTTCTCTGTCCAGGTAATTAATTAATCATGATTTTTATTCTTTAATCTTACCATCATCATCCCCTTTTCTTCTTGTTGTTGTTTTTTTTTTTTTTTTTGTAATTATTACGTATAGCGTGCTATGATGTTCGATGTTATTTTGTACTATGATATTTGATGTTATGTAGCCGCCGACATCTTTTTGGGCATCGAAACACCGGTTTTCTCCGAAGGTAGTGGAATTCGGGAGAGATTTTGTCTTGTCTTCTTTACAACCCAGATGCAATCGAGTTTTATTAATTAATCCAAGTTTTCGCTTTAAAGCAATTAATAAAAATAATGATAATGTGGAGAATCCCAAAGAGGAGGAGGAGGAAGAGCAGCAGCAATGTGTTCAAGATGTGGCAAAAGCAGTGGCCAACAAGAAAGAGAGTGAGAGTGATACTACGCTCCTGGATTGGAAAAAAGACCCTTTTTCCAAATTTCAGGGAATGATTGCCACTCTCCCTCCTGTTGTTTTTGTGGTGAGCTTTCGAGTTCTTTTGAATCATCGTTGAATATGAATTCCTATAATTGGAAGCATGGGTGTTTGTTTTTGTAGTCTTGGAAAAGCTTGTGTTTTCGGGAAAAATGTGGAATTTTTAGGAACTGGACAGGCTTCTTGAATTGAACCACCAGGCATTGGATTTGAAACTGCAACAATGTCATCATAACATGACATTTACGTTGTAGAAGTAAAAATGTGCAAGTTGTTATAAGTTTTTCATTAAGCTATCGCAGTAAAATGGAAGCAAGAATGGGTACAATGTACTTCTGAACTTGATCAATTCAAGAGATGGCAATGCTTGTTTGATATTGTGATTTTTTGAGGTTAGGTTGTTAGGCTTTCTTTGATGAAAAGATCATGTGATTCATAAGTAGTGTTTTGGGCCTTTTGGTGTTCTAATTGTAGATTATTCTAGTCTTTTATTTATAGAGGCTTTTGGCTTATCAGATGAGAAGAGCTTCTGGAAGCAATTTTCTAATATGGCTATGTGTTGCTACTGCATTTTTGGTTGTTGCTGTGAGAGTATATGTGGTTAGGAAGTCGAGGCAAAGCCGTCCTGGCTCTGTAGCTGATCTTGTTAGACGTGGCCAGCTGAGATCTGATAGAAGAGGCATGTATGATTTCAATCCCCAATGCTTTCTGCTGCTATCTTCTCCTTGCATCGTCTCAGTGGACATTGTAGAACAATTACTTTTCTGTGGTTTGAATGATTTGCCAAGACTTCCCACTTCTTTTCCTGGAGAATGATTGCCATTGCATGATCTCTATTTGTAGAAACTAATTTTCTTTATCATCCCCTCCATTGCCTCTCTGTTTTCTTAACTCAACTAGACAAAAGCTTGGCACAAAATGTGATCCTTAGATCACATTTTGTGCCAAGCTTTTGTCATCTCATGCTGGTTGAATGATAATAACGTGGTTTCATTGTGGAACCTCTTATCCACAGATCAAGTCCTCTCAAATACGAGGATCCATTCAATAATCCATTGGTTAAAGTTGGCAAGAGCAATTCAACCGTTGAGATGTGTGGAAAGGTTTATCGCTTAGCTCCAGTTACACTAACCAAAGAACAACAAGCCATCCATCAGAGAAGGAGGTCACGAGCATACCAGTGGAAAAGACCAACAATTTTCCTTAAAGAAGGGGATTCAATACCTCCAAATGTTGACCCTGACATGGTCAGATGGATTCCTGCAAATCATCCTTTTGCAACTACTGCCAGTGACATTGACGAAGACTTGGCTCAAAACAATGTTTATCAAAAGCATGGTGTTCCTTTCCGTATTCAGGCTGAGCATGAGGCGCTACAAAGAAAGCTAGAGACACTACAGAATGTAAGCACTTCTAAGATTTATGCATCTATGCCCTGAGGATTTACAACTAGAAAGGAGAGAATCAATCCCATGCAATGAGAATTGCATCACCCAAAGAGTAACTAATTTAGAAAACATGCTGCGGTCCATTCCTAATTAACTTTGTAGACCTGTCCATATATCTCGTTTCTGTATGGTCCTGCATTAATCTATCGTAATGTTTCTATTGCCGTTGCTGGATGTATTTCCCTTCTGAATCTGAAAATTGCAAAGAAACGACTGATTCACCACCAACACTTCCATTTCCTCATGCCATGACCAAACAAAGAAAAGTCAATCATAACTCTGAAATTTTTGAAATTTTCAAACAGGTAAGGATCAATATACCTTTGTTGGATGCTATTAAACAGGTTCCTTCCTATGCTAAAATTTTGAAAGATCTATGCACTGTGAAGAGGAAACTGAATGTGAAAAAGAAAGCCTTTCTAGCCGAACAAGTAAGTGCTATTCTTCAGAACAATAATGCTTTAAAATATAAAGACCCTGGTTGTCCTACAATTTCTTGCTTTATTGGAGAGCATAAAATTGAAAGAGCCTTACTTGATCTTGGAGCTAGTGTGAATTTACTTCCATATTCAGTTTTTCAAAGTCTCAATCTAGGTGAGTTAAAACCAACTTCTATATCTCTTTTACTTGCCGATAGATCTATAAAAGTGCCTAGAGGAATAATTGAAGATGTGTTAGTACAAGTCGATAAATTCATTTATCCTGTGGATTTTATTGTCTTGGACACAGAACCTGTTGAAGCATGTAATTCATTTCCTGTTATTTTAGGACGTCCATTTCTTGCAACCTCTAACGTATTGATTAATTGTAGGAATGGACTGATGAAGCTATCATTTGGAAACATGACATTGGAGATGAATATTTTCAACATTTGCAAGCAACCTGGAGATGATAATGATTTACAAGAAGTAGATCATATTGACGAATTAGTTTATGATCAACTTGAATCCACTTTAAGTAAAAATGAGTTGGATGAATCTGAAGATTTGTAAATGATTTATTCTGAGGAAGAAATCACGGATAACAAACACACAGAAAATGTTGATGCAAATCTTTTGTCAACAGTGACAACAGATTCGACATCTGGCATCACACCAATCGATGATTACTTTCCTAACGAATCCTTACTTTCTCTTAATCCAATACCTTGGTATGATAAAAATATCAATTTTCTTGCTTTAGGAGATTTGCCAGCTGATTGGAGTACACAAGACAAAGAAAAGTTTTTGAACGAAGTGAAGAGCTTTTATTGTGATGACCCTAACTTATTCAAATATTGTCCTGATCAAATATTTCAAAGATTCATTCCTGACAATGAGGTAAGTAGTGTCATTAAACTTTGTCATTTTGAAGCATGTGGAAGTTATTGCTCGTCAAAAAAGACTACTGCAAAAATCTTTCAAAATGGATTTTATTGGCCCACCATGTTCAAGGACACACATGCATTCTGCAAAACTTGTGAAAATTGTCAAAAAATTAACACTGGTCAAAAAGTTTTGTTTTATGATTCTCAACTCTATGCATTCCCTAAAGAGCTAAGATTAAGATGGACCAATCCTTATGGGGCCTGTGATATTGAGAATTCAATGAATGACAATGATTTTAAGGAAAATGGACATCATTTGAAAGCTTACTTTGATAATTTTCCTAGTGAAAATGAATCAGCTGGTTTGAATGATCTTGTAGATAAAGGTTGATTATTTTGTTTTTCTCACATTTTCTTTTTTGTGTTTCTTTTTGAGTGATTTTTGCTAGTTTCTCTCACCCCGGTCAAATGGCGGACAACAGTACTCCGTGACTTAAGTCGGTTCTTTCAGTTTCCCACAATAACTGATATTTGTGTATATATTTGTGCAATTCTTTGAATCTCTCTTCTAATTCTCATTTGAAAATGGACACTAATCTTGAAAAATTGAAAGAGTATTTTCCCGCTCTGCCTCAGAATGCGATTACAAAAATTTACCGTGCTAGATGTGCAAGATTGAGATTGTTAATGAATCATGGAATTCCTGAAGATATTCGCTGGTTGATTGAAGCAAAGGTCCGATTATTAGGTGAGTCCTCTAATTTCTTTATTTCACACATGCTTGGAACAGGTAAAAGCACTTTTGCAAAGAAGCGTCGTGCAAAACGACTAGAAGTCTGTCATCGATGTGCTAGATGGACTTGTAATACACAATGTCATTCTTTAGGAATGGTATCTATAAATCGTGAAGATAAAATACAATTCATTAAGGATGGCCTGAGTAAGGAGTCTTTAGATAATCTTCTATTGACTCTTGAGACGCATCCTAGTGGAGATGTGCATCGTGTAATTCACGATTTATGGCCAATATTTCATAAAGAACATGATCGACTTAGTCTTGGGAATCTGACTAAAAAAGACCCTGTTTGCCAGTTTTTAAGAGAACTGGATGGGAAGCCTATCCCCGACCCATAGAGGGTGTTTAAGCCGTTCTTGAACGTAAAACCAAGGGAAGATGTGAGCCACAATCACAATTACATGTACATACACATGCTTTTTTTTAAAAGTAAATAAATAAATAAATAAAAAGAGAGAAAGAGAGTGTGAGACTCCAGCTGGCCTACATATAGGTGTTATGATTGTCTTTCTCATTTCTCATCTATAAAACCCTCTCTTCCTTCCTTTCATTTCTACTCAACCCATACATTCAACAAATACAGAAGTGTGTAGAAATGGCAAGTTCCTAAAGTCATCAAATAAGAAATATTTGTGTTTTCGATGGATCTAGTCCTGGGAAAGAAAATGAGTTTTTAGAATCAGCAAATCATCTTGGTCAGGTGCTAGCTGAGAGAAAGATTCATTTAGTGTATGGGGGAGGCAGTCTTGGGTTAATGGGAGGTGTGTCAATAGCTGCATTTTTAGGAGGTAGTCAAGTTTTGGGGGTCGTCCCTGAAGCTTTGGCACAAGGGAACATCATTGGAAAAACAATTGGAGAGGAACTTCAGGTCTCCACAATGTCGGCTCGAATGAATGCAATGTTTAACCATGCTGATGCCTTCATTGCTTTACCAGGTGGTCTAGGCACATTGGAAGAGATCTTTCATATTTCCTCTTGGGCTCAATTGCACATTCACCATAAACCCATAGGTTTGTTAAATGTTAATGGTTATTATGATAAATTGTTGTCTTTTCTTGATCATGCTGTGGAACAGGAATTTCTAACATCTTCTGCACGACAAATCATAATCTCTGCTGCTACTGCTGAACAGTTGATTGACCAACTACAATCTTTCATTCCTGTGATTGATCCTTCCATGAGTCGCATAAATTGGTCATCTACGGGAAGCTGTAAAAAGCTTAGATTGGATTTGAGCCTTCATTTGTGAATTTTTGTGTCTTTTGGTTTTATTATTATGTTTTGTTATTTCTTATTTTTGTTTCAGTGTGTTTCAGGTTTTGTCAGTGTTCGTTATTTCAGGTGATATCTTTTATACTCTATCTTTCTACCTTAGAACATTGAGGACAATGTCTCATTTTGGTTGGGGGGAGAGGGTAGTAGTTGATAAAAAAAAAAAAAAATTGTTTTTCATTTCATAAAGCATGTGCATAATTGTTGTTACTAGGATGGCAGAGTAAAGGAGTTCTTTTGTTAAAGTGACTCTTGAGACGCATCTTAGTAACCATTCTTAACAAGGTCTATTATAATACTTCCTAAAATATTCAGGTTTACAAACTCTCGTATTGTTACCACTTAATTCTGCTCATATACTTATTTAACATGTATTTTTAAACCTTAATTTACACACACACACTTTAACATATGATTGTGGGTTGCATATTGGATTATTACATTATTTATGTTCTTTTGTTAAAGGTAACAACTAGGGAAAGGGATTGTATATAATTAAAAAGAAAAAAAGAAAAACATGAAAAAAAAAAAAAGAAAAAAAAAAAAAGAAAAAAAAATAAAAATGATGATAATAAAAATGTAGATAAGTTTGGTTTCGTAGCCTCCCTAACCTAAGCAATTAAGTCCGAAGGGGTGTTTTAACACCTAATACCCTAAAGTCAACTGACTTGGGAGCTATTGGCCCAACGCTTGTTACATGGGTTGAGGAGAAAAGCTTAAGGGAATAAACATAATAAAAGAAAGAAAAATAAATAAATAAAATATGAACATAAATAAGATAAAAGTTAACTAAGTAAATGAAAGGAAATGAAAGGCATAAACTTGATATTAATTAAAGCAAAGCATAAACATTACAAAAAATACAAAGAGAGAAAGCCAAAGCATAAACATTACAAAAAATACAAAGAGAGAAAGCAAGAGCATGATCTTGATCTGGAAACCAAGATGCCTAAATGCATGGCAAATGCCTCCTTTTATAGGCAAAACATGGAAACTATTTATTTGATGACTAATTAATAAGTGGGTGACCAACTCTTGTCTGCCCAAAACATCATTAATAACGTCAAAATTGGAACCACTTGAAAACATGAAAGTTATACGAAATTGTCTCATCTTTTTTGTGTAACAAATTCAGGTTATTTAGACTTCTAGAACTCCAGATATGGGTCAAAAACTAAACAGTACTCAGACTGGAAGACAAATTCAAACTTATTTGTTGTTGCTACAATTTGGACTTGAAAATGACCTTTTTAAGTCTTGGGCTCTATATAAAAGTTGTAGGCCTATATCCTACCTTTCCATCCATATAAAATAGACCTAAATCTGATATCTACAGCTCTAGATATGACCCAATTACCGAACAGTGTTCTAGTTTGGATTGCACCAGCATCTCTTTTCTAAGTTTGGCCATCTCTAGCCTTTCAATTTCAGTTCTTAAATTTATCAATGAATCCTTTCATTTATGTGATAGGCCTGCATTTAAAATAAACATTTACCATAAATTAAAGGTATCATATATTATTAGATATATTACTATAAAACATGATTTAGTTAAGGAGTTATTGATACTTCAAGTGCAAAATAATGACATAAAACTTTGATAAAAAATGCACTTTTAAGTATTAATCAGTTTGCGAAAGTCTAAGTAAGGGACTGATTGTGCAAGGGGAAGATGCATCACCCCTAGTTATTGTTGTTTGATTGTTTTTTTAGGTCGGGTTTCTATTTATTGGTCTTATCTAAGGCTCAAGGTAGATCTCTCTCCATGAGAGAGTCTCTACCTTATCGGGT